AAAAAAAAAAAACAAAGTTAATTGCCAAAAGATAATTTTAGATAGTTGAAATAATGATTACAGTTGGAAAATACTTTTGAAAAGTTTTTATTAGTAATCAAGTGCTATCAATTGGAATTTATTATATATTGTATGCATTGACAATATGTTGATGAGAAGATAAATGTTACAATATACATTATGATTAAAGAGAGAAAAAATGCTAGTGATATTCCTTTTATATAGTTATCCTTCCAAAAGTCAGTCCTTAAATTGGGTCCTGATTCTGTTACTTCATAGCTATATGGCCTTGGCCAGGTTGCCTACCATACTTGTTTTACATTTTTCCATATATTTAAAAGAAATATATCTTTTTCAGAAGATTGTGTGAGAATTCACAGAGATAATTCAAATAATTTGTAAAAGTCATAATTTTTTTAAATGAATGTTAAAAGATGTATACAGGTGTTTATGCATGTACTCATGCCATGAGTCTGTGAATCCTTTGTTTTGATCAGTATGTTCCTAAATGTCTGAATCCTGAGTGTATTTGGCATTTTTAGTAAACTTAAAGCTTGGATGTTGAGAAAGAAATGACATAATACAGATACATTATTATTCTTTTCTTTTATCTAATAGACTATTTCTGGAGTTGATTTTTTTTTTTTTTTTTTTTCTTTCCTATCCTGTGCGAATAAGCTGTCTGATTGCAGTGTGTGGAGTCATCTAGGCAAGGCTCATATGTTTGTTTCACCACTGCTTACCAATTTCTCTAAGCTTTAGTTTTCATATTCTGTTCCATCACTATAGAGTGAAAGTCTAATGCACATACCCATATACAATTTTTCTTTTCTTCTGCTTTCTAAATAATTTAATAAATGAGCTTATCAGTATTATAGAAAGAATTCAAACAGTCCTTGGGCTAGAAGATCTACCACCAACCTTTGAGGAAATCTTTAAAACTCTTTGTATGTACATACAGAATTCTTTTGGTAATCAGTGATAGTATTTTTATATGAAAGTGCTTTGTAAACTACAAACAAGTAAAAAGTTACAGGAATTCCCCATGTACTTCCTTTAGTTCTTCTGTGAGGACAGTAGTTAGAAGTCCAGTACTTTGAAGTGGTAATTATTTACCTAAATGCTCTATACCTCAGAATTGAAGACAACTTACCTTTTTTGTTGCTGTTCCTACCTATGTTACCTAATCCTCAAGTTAAAAAAAAAAAGAAGCAAAAAAATGAAACTAAGGTGTTTTCAAGTCATGACCATTCTGCTTTCCTTTTTTTTTTTTTTTTTTTTTATTGTATATCTACCTGTTAGTCACAGTATTCTTTTCACTAAAAGTTTAATATCTGGCACACAGAGTTTTGTTTTTTACCATAGATCTGATTCCAATTCTGAGTTCACTGTCACCTGAATAGTCCATACAGTATTCTTAAGTTGATCCTCATACGACTGTCTAGTAAACTTTATTTCTACTTTTATGGAGGTAGATCACATAACTCCCAGGCTGGATCTGTTCCTCCAGCTCTGAATTCTTAAATTTAAACAATCATTAATCTGATAACAGTCTCTTCCTCTGTTATGCAGCCCAGCTGTATTTGCCTTTGACTTTGTGAGTACATTCTTTTCTACATATATTACTCTACTTCTTACTTTTTCATCCTTTTCACTTTTATATCCTGCCCAATGTAGAAATCATTTCATTTTTTTCACTTAAATTCTGACCATTACTCTCAGTTTTCTTACATTCTTGTTTCTGATTCTAGGACATGACAAACCTTTGCATGGCTGTCTGTTTATATTTTTCATGTCCATGGTTAGACTTCAGGAAAGAAAGAAAAATTGTATGATCTATTTAGATTAAGTAGTTTTCAAATTCAACTAATATCTTCTTTTCCATCTCTTATATCCTTCCTAGATCTTGTTCTTTCTCACAGCATAAGTGGCCCTTGCCACCATCTACCTTGTTATTTAAGTTAAAACAAAACAAAACAAAACAAAACAAAACAAAACAAAACAAAACAAAACAACCCAGCCTTTTTTTAGCTCCATATTGATCATCTGTTGAGTCTGGTCATTCTTGTTCTTTAATAGCTGCCAAATTCATCCATTCTTTTCCTACCGTTCTTCCTTCGGACCTTCACCATAACTTAACTAAACTCTTGTGCATTTATCTTAGCTAGATTTCCAGCTCCTAATCTTTACCCCTTTCCAATTCATTTGTCATTGCAGTCTCATAAACATTGAGGTTATGTATCTTTTATGTATTTTTTAAAGATTGGAAGTATCTTAATTGCACTGTTTAAAAGTAAGACTCTCTTGTTAGGTATCGGGTATTTTCACATTGATTAGTATTCTAGTGATAGTTAATGATTACAAAGGGTGGTTGGTAAAACGGTTAATAAAAGTAGGAAAGAATACTAGGATGTCACTTGTCATAACAGCTTTGTGTTTATTAAATGTCTGTGCCAAAAGTAATCCAAATATTTGACATAATGAAACTTCTTTTTATGAAGGAACTGTCGGGTAGGTACTATTTATTATTATTCTCTGTGTTGTAGAAGAGAAAACTGAAACACAGAAAGTATGAGTAATCTGTTCACAGTCATGATCTTGTTGCTATGAAGTAGTAGAGCGTAGTTCACATCCAGGCAGTCTGTTGCTGAGCCTGAGCTTGCAGTTACTGCCTCAGAGGATGCTAGAATATTCTGACTCATTAACTACTGTATGGAAATCTGAGATTAGAGTTTAGTGGTAAAAGTTAAAGTAAGAGGATTATATAATTATTGCATCCACTACCTGGATTGAATTCCTATAAAGGATCATGGTTTTTATTTTTGTCCACAATGAGTGGTCTTTGTCATATTCTTTACTTTTACAAGGTAGCATTTTTCCTTTTAAAATAAAAGTAGAACTAATATTTCAGAAAAGTTAAAAATTACATGTCTGTGATTAAAGAGTAAACTCTAGAAATCTTCTAGATAATTTCCTTAAGAGTCAGCATCTGTGTCATGTTCATCTTTGTTTTCTAGTACCTAGAATGGGGATAGGCATATAGCACTGAAATACGTGTTTACGGAATATTCTTATTAGTTCTTCTCCTTCTTTCTATTTTTTTTATTGCACTGCACTGTTTATTATTTTTTATTTCATTTGGGTCTTATGAGAAATTGACATGATTTTTTTTTTTTAACTAGGGGATGTCCCACTCTTGTTCAAGCCTTGCCAGGCCCTAGCACACAAGTCACTGCAGGCAGCAACCATACGGCAGTCCTTTTAATGGATGGACAGGTCTTCACCTTTGGAAGTTTTTCTGTAAGAAATTTTTTCAACATTAATAATATTGCATCATAATTTATCTATGTTAGCTTTTTTTTCCCTGGTTTCAGTGAAATTCTTGTATACCAATAGCATATGCGTATTTTCTGCCTCCACCTCGCTGCACCCTAAATCTAAATGGCATTCTTTCAAATAATTCTTTTTTCTATCTTGACATTAGAGTTTACTGAATTTAACAGCACTGTTTCAATTGGACATGTTCGCTGTAGATTAAGTCTTTAAAAGTATTCAGTAATTATATTATTTGAGAAGTTCTCATTTAACTTGTAAAGATTCCTTTTTTTAATATACGTAACTATTTGTACTATTTTTATTTTAGAACTTTTTGACAGTGTAGTTTATAAGATAATCTTTGTTTAAAAATATATCCTTTGTGTGTATCTGCTGCCCCACCTACTCTCTGTCCCTGTTAAAGCTTGAAAAGACTGAAAAAGAAAAACAGAGAATTTTGCATAGTAGTATTAAAGGAAATCATCATAAGTGTGTGTTCATAAACCTGTACCTTCTCTGGTAACTATTGAGGACTGCAGAACTTTTAAGTTTCAAAGATGTAATTTACAACTCTTGATTTTTAAAAAGTGTAAATATGAACTTAAAAAAAATCACTTATTTTGTGAATTAGTTCTGAAACTTACAGAAAGTTTGCAAAAGTAACAGTATGTAGAACATCCATATACTCTTTAAGTAGATTCACCTTTTGTTAATATTTAGATGTATATAATATTTTGATCCATTTTTCTTTTGTACATGTTCTTTCTTCTGTGTATATGATCTTGAGTATGATTGCTTGTGTTTAAACATTTTTCACCTCAGTCCAGTAAAAATAATTATGTAGTCTCTGGCCCTCTTTTCCTAATCCTAAATACTTTTTATTTTGTCACTTAGTTCAGTAATTACTTTTTATCTTTTTTCTCCCTCTAATACATGGTGAGTCATTGCATTTTTGCCTTGTTTCTTTAGTCTGCTTTAATTAGGAATATATCCACTTTTCTGTCTACTATGTTTTTTATTTAGGTACCAACTATCAAACTCAGGACCTTGTGCTTGCCAGGCAGGCACTTATGCCACTGTGCTATCTTCCCAGCCCTTTCTGTCTACTATGACATGTAAATTTGTATATAGTACTCCTGCTTCCTTCTTCCTTCACTCTGCGTTTGTAGGTCTTTTCTAGTTTATTCTTTCCGTGTTTCTTCTTATAAAGATAAATAAGTTAGTACATGTGCACACAAGCACACCACATAAACATGTAAGTTATTTCCTGTTTTTGTTTTGCAAAAGGAAGTATCCTGCATATGTTCTTTTGTACTTCACTCTTTCCACTTTAAAATATCTCCATAGAAATTACTCCATCACTTGACAGAATCTCTTTTTGGATCTTTGTATAGTATTCCATTGTGCCTATGTATTATATTTAGTCAATTTCTTATGCTTAGATGTTTAAGTACTTGCTGGGATTTTTGAGTGAAAATAAGGAATATTGTTAGTATATTTTGAGTTTCATTCCAAGAAATGAGGTTGCTGGGTTCAAGATTTATGCCTGTGCTCTATATGTGATATGAACATTTTTTTTCTTTTATGTTCCCTCCAGCAGCAGGTGAGAGTGCTTATTTTTCCACAGCCTGCCACAGAATCTGTTGTCATGCCTTATAATTTATACCAGTCTGATACATGAGAGCCATCAAGTCCTAACTCATTCTGTATTTTGGAATTAAGGGTTAGACTTTCTCTTTTGGAAGATGACTTTCGTACATTTTCTTGGTCTTTTCCACACCTCTTTTCTTCTCGAGCTTCCCGTATAGTGCACTCAGGCTTGTAGAGGCTTGTTAGTTAACGGTAATTAAGTTAGAGAACATTATATCTCCTGCCTCCTAATACTGCTCGAGGCTTAAGGATTTATGTGCTATATGTGTGTTGGTTTTTTTATTTGGGGAATGGTGTGGGAATGCTGTTCTTCAGTCTCAGAAGTCCTAGTTGCAAACTTTTATAAACTTAAGAATGGCTTTATCTTGTATTTTTGCTTTTCTTCAGATTACTTGATTGTTAGGGATTAATAGAATAACAAATTTTACATGTGTCATTATTAAGAATACAGTCTCACATAGCTATTTTTGTCTACTATTTTAACTTTTTAAAAATTATGGGTTATTTACTCAGCAATACTGTTAATGCAACTTATTACTTTTTTAGAAAGGCCAACTGGGAAGACCTATCTTGGATGTGCCATACTGGAATGCAAAGCCAGCTCCCATGCCTAACATCGGATCCAAGTATGGAAGGAAAGCTACTTGGATAGGTGCAAGTGGGGACCAGACTTTCTTACGAATTGATGAGGCACTTATTAATTCGCATGTACTTGCTACATCAGAAATTTTTGCCAGTAAACACATAATAGGTAATACTAATAATAAACAAAACCTATCCCTCAAACCTTTTATCATAATCAATAGTAAATAGTTTCTTTATGCTGAGATTCTGTCATATAGCTTTTGTTTTTTCTTTCTGTCTGAAGAAAACTAAATGAAGCATCTAAGTGTATCTGTGTCTGTGAGCTTGAAGAATGGAATAATTGGGAAATCCAGAAACCAGAATATTCATAAGATAGTAGTTGAAGTATGAACTAAATTGTGGTACTATAAAGCATACTGGAGTGAGGGATTTTTCTGTGTTATTTCTTGTTAAGCAAATAATAGAAATTAATTTTTATGCAATGTTCTAATCAAACTTCTCAACTTCATTGAAACCAAGATATCTCCCCATACTTACAACTATGACACCGTGAATGATTAATTGCATAACAGAGTGATATAGCATATGGATTAGGAGCATGTGTTATGGATTTGGAGAGCGAGAGATACTCCTAATACTTCCACTTAAAGATTCTTCCTTAAGCTTTTTATGTATATATTGCCTGTGAAATTGTGACACTATTATATAACTTATATGTTTTGAAGAATATAAAAAGATTATGTATATTAAAACTGTACATATTATCTCTTTAGGCTTGGTACCTGCTTCTATATCAGAACCTCCACCATTTAAATGTCTTCTGATAAATAAAGTAGATGGGAGTTGTAAAACTTTTAATGACTCTGAGCAGGAGGATTTACAAGGATTTGGTGTGTGTCTTGATCCTGTCTATGATGTAATTTGGAGGTAAGTGTAGGTGTTTATAAAATGTAGTATGTAAATAAGTTTTGATCAAATTACCTTCTTTTGGTAACATAAAGTTCATGTATATGCAGATTTTTCACACACAAGAACTCTCTTACATAATTGCAGCCATTCATAGCCAGTACCTTAGGTAGGAAAGAACATGCATTCTGAGCTGTCCTACAAAGGTTTATCCTAGCTCCATGATTTGCTTTCTCTTTTGCCTTAGAGAAGTTACTCTGTCTCTTTATGCCTCTATTTCTCTCTTTAATGAAACGAGGATAGTAATAGTATAGAGGTACATACTAGTGGTTGTTTACAAATGTTTGCTACTATTTGTTTTACTTCAGAGAATGTGCCTGTTATTTTTTGTCAGTAATCCTGACACGCTGGTGGCTGCCTCAGCATATTCCTGTCAGTATTGAATAGAATTTATTTCTTGTTTCCATAAACATCTAAGTTATTATGTAGATAGAAGAAATTATGCCAACAATGCAGAATAAATAAGAAAATTTAGTCTACTTTTTATTGATAGATAAATGTATGAGTTATGTATCTAAAGATATACAAAGATATACAAGAGACTCAATCAAGAAATTATCTTGTACTTATTTAAAATTTATTTGTGGTGTATTATATGTAGAAGAATAAAGAAAAGTTGTGTTTTTCAGTTCCTAGCTTTAGGAAGCAGTACGAAGGAAATGTAACCTTCTGCTACCAGAGTGGTTTATCACAAGGCTGTTTCTTTTTTCTTTTGATTTTTTTCATCCCTCTTGCTGTGTTTTTTTTGGCTGTGTTTTTTTTCTAGTTCTGGTAAGTTGGATGCTTTAAGTGATATGGATGAGAAAAGGGAGAATATTTTGTCTTCTTCCTTCTGACCATGTCTGCTTGTATTTCCATCAATTGCCAAGTCTTTATAAGCCATAGTTTCTGCACATTATGAGATTTGTGTGCATAATGATGGAATTAAAGTGCTTCCTAGAGGGCTGATCAGCTCACTTCATCATTTGGGTATTCTGTGAGAACTCCTAGAGGCCATGAATGGAGTTTAGCAGTGCTTTTATATCTCCCTAGTAGCATTGTGCAGGTTAGATGAAAGAATAAGAGACCACAATATACTAAGAGCCAAAATTAAAGTGGCCACAGTGAGTTGGAATAGAGGGACTAGAGAGAGGAGGAGAATAGTAGTTGTAAAGGCGGAATTGCTTGCAGTTTTTTACTGAAGTCAATTTACAAGTGTTTTTTCCTTTTTTTTTTTCTTTCTTTTTGAGACAGGGACTTACTATATAGTTCAGGCACGCCTTGAACTCACTTTGTACCCCAGGATGGCCTTGAAGTTACAGTGTTCCTCCTGTCTCATCTTCCTGAGTGCTGGGATTACAGGTGTGCACCACCACACCTGGTTTAAGAGTCTTAATCATCAAAGTATAGGCTCTGATTTGGATTTAGGTGCCAGTCAATATTTGCTTGTTTTGTTTTGTTTTTAATTTTTTTTGTTTGTTTTATATTGCTTAAGGTAGAACCCATGGTTTTACATATGCAAGGCAAGAGTGTCACTACTGGGCCATATCAACACCCCTAAATGTTCTATTTTTAAAGACAATACATTTACATTAGTAAATAAAAGTAAAAAATTGGCAATGTGGAATTTGCTTCTAGATACATTTACTAAGTTAGGGATAAAAGTGTAACCAAATTCAGAGATTAAAAATATTGTAGAGCTGTTTCCATAGGATCTTAGCAAAACTCTGAAGTATATATCTAGCTAATTGAACTTTTACCTTTTCACATATCGTGGTAGATGTGAATGGGATGTACATTGTCCAGCTCCTTCATGATTTTCTCTATCATTCCAAATAAGATTCAAGGATGAAGGGCAAGCACCCATAGTTGAGTGAAACAACTGGCAGAGAGTTTCTGTTAGATCAGGATCAGAGTTTCTTTTCATTATCGTGACTAGTAGCTGCTTGCTTTTCTTTGAGGTTCTTCAGTACTTCTTATATTTTTATAGCTATCACAGAAGTGCAGATCCAGCAATGGCTTACTTTGACTTTCCTTCGGGCCTGTACTTGCTTTCTTTTGTACTCTTCAAGAGTAACTTCTCCTGGATAATTAGATTTAACATTTATAAGAAATAGGTAATTGTTAAGAGCAGCAATTTTAATTCCAACTTAAAAATTTACATAGATAATAGAAGAATTCATGTTATTTTTAAGAAAGCAATGTAAAAGTACATGTAGGATAAAGTATCAATTTTTAGACATTTTCTTTCTCTATACCTAAATTCACTAACCTTCTGAGTAGGTCAAAAAGTTTTATGTTTGGTTTATATTTGTCATCTTTCTGAAAGTATGTATTCTGCTTCCTTTATAAATAAAAATATAATTGTTCAAAAAGTACATTTTAAACAATAATTTGAAGACATTTCCTAATCAGTAAAGAACTATGTCATTATCAAAACTGTATAGAGGGACTGTGAGATAGCTCAGCAGTCTAAAACACCTGATTAGGCAAGCTTAGATAGGCCCAGAGCACTATGGTCCAATCCTCAGCACCACATGCCACATCAGCCCCGTCCTCGGGGTGGGCTGACCCAGCCAAAAATAAAAAAAACCGGTATAGAATTCTATAGTCAGAACATAGCAAATATACTTAACTGTTTCCCCATCAGTAGACATAATTGCTTTTTTAAAGTTCTATTACCTACAGTGCTACAGTAAACACACACCATATATGCAAACAATTGTGTACATATATGAAAATATTTTTTCAAGATAGCTCTCAAATGAAACTGCTGAGTTGAAACATAGACTTATAGACTGTTGATGTATTAACGTGCAACACTCTTGCTATGTACAAGAATTCGTGTTTCTTCATAGTGTCAGTATCAGTGGACAGTACCATTCTTGTTTTCAACTCTTTCTATTTTAATTTCGTTTTTCCATATATAATACTAAGTACATATTACATGGTAAGTAAGGAATGACATACAATAAATAAGATGGTCAGTGCCCTTGCTTTATGCAAGTCAGCTTGTTAGTGGAATCAAGGCTAGTTGAAAAAAATAATGTATTTTATAAATACTGCTCAGGAAAAATTGCTGTGTTTGAGAATCACAGTACTATTGTCTCTTCAATATAGCTGAGACAATATAAGTTAAAGCCTTGAAATGTGAGAAAAGAAGCCAGGAATTTGCAGAGTCATAAGTATTACAAGTAGGGAGAGCATACTAGGCCCAAGTGTGCTCATATAAGCAAGGGCTTGATGGTATTTTAGGAATTTGAAGAATGCCATTAGAGTTAAAGCAGTGCAAATGAGTAGCATGAAATGGAAGAGTTACAGGCAAGGTAAGGGCATGTAGGGCTTTGTAAGTTAAGGAATTCGTATTTTCTCCAAAATAAGAAATTCTTGTAGGAATTTGAGCAGGGAATGATAATAATATTGTACTTAGTATGGAGAAAAGGATCAGAAGGAAGCATGGTGGTGGAAGCTAAGGCATAAATGCAAAGGAAAAACAATAACTTGAACTAGCATAGGTAATAAGGAAGATGGAGAGTAGTTGGTGACATTTTGGAATAGAGCTAAATAGACTTGTTTGTGTTTTGAGGATAGTCAAGGATGATGCCAAAAGTGTTCTAACTTTGCTATTTTTCTCAGTTACTTATCTCTTGTTTCTGCAACTAAATACCAGACATCCATAAGTAAAGAAGGAAAGGTTTATTTAGCTCACAGTTTGTGAGGTTTCAGTCCATACTCCCTGACTCCAAGGCAGAGTGGCATGTGGCAAAGGACAACAGTTGGTTGTGACAGCTAGCAGCAAGTGTACCAAGAGGAAAAGGAAGGAACAGCAGCGAAGAGCAAGCCTCTTTCCCTCTTACAGTGTATCCAGGCTGTCCGCCCAGGACAGTTGTAGCCCTCAACCCGTGATCCCAGCCTTGGACCGTGAATTAATCACAAGCACTAGAAGCCCAGCCCATGTCTGTCTGAAGCTTTGGGGTAGAGGGGACTTGTAGACACAAACCATAACAATGTCTGAGTAGATGTTTGTGCTGTTAACTGATTCAGGCAAGGCAGAGTGACAAGTTTTTGTCAAGACTTCTGTTTTTGACATCGTTTGTGATCTAAGTGAGAATGTTAAGCCTCCCAAGTGCCACCACACCAGTCATTACCTATGTTTTCTTTCAACTTGTCTTTTGTCTTTAAACATTTCAATGGGAATTTTATTGTACAAGAGCGTCATATTTATATGTATGCATCAAATTTTGTAGTGTACAGTTCCTGTATTTATGAAACCTTACAATCTTACTACTCAAATTATTTTATTGTGTTTAATTATTTGGCTTAGATATGTAACAAGCCACATTTTACCTGTTTAAATTGATCATATTATTCTCTTTGTATTGTTAGTTAAATTTGTGTTGTAGTTCAAATGAAACCACATGTTGAGGTGCCGTAATTATTCTGTTTCTTAAAAGGTTTCGGCCAAATACCAGAGAACTGTGGTGTTACAATGCAGTAGTTGCTGATGCCAGACTTCCCTCTGCAGCAGACATGCAGTCCAGATGTAGTATTTTAAGTCCTGAACTTGCCTTACCAACAGGATCAAGAGCTCTTACCACTCGGTCTCATGCAGCTTTGCACATTCTAGGTAGGGTCATTCTTTGGGGTCTGCTTGATTTGCATTGGTGCATGCTGTGCTGAAGCTTAGAGTTTTTGTTTAGAGTTTACATTTGTATGTCATTCTATCATGTTTATTAAACAATAATATGCTAGATACAGAATTTGACATGTGACCTATTCCAACACCATGAAAGATTTATGTATGCTTAGATACAAATCAGTCCAGGATATGATTTCCCAAACAGATATAGTCTTAAAAGCAAAATTTTTATTTAACTTGAATATATAAACTTAGAGACATATGGATGAAACATTCACATATATAATTACTTATATACAAAAATATAACATTTTATTTCTGTTTCTTACATAATACAGATTCCTATAGCACAAGAGATTGACTTTCTATTTAATTACTTTGAGATGTAGCACTTTTGCAATACATATTTTTTAATCACTGGAAATTTTATATTAATCCACATAGCTACCTAATGTATTGCTCTTTTGAGTGTTTTGGGAAAGGGCTTTGGTAGTCAAACCTAGGTTCTTCAAACTGATCTGTGTGTCCAGCTCCTTCCCATCCTATTTTTGAGACAGAGTCTCCCTGAGTTACCAAGGCTAGGTTCAAACTTGTAATCTTCCTGTCTCAGTCTCTTAGAATACTGAGATTACAAATGTGTGTCATCACACCTCCCTGTTTTATTGTTTAAAAGTGATCCTTGGACTGGAGATGTACGCTTGCCCTGGTTTGGATCCTCAGCCATGCCAACAACAACAACACAAACCCTTTAAGATTTACTTTTCTTTCTTTAGCATTTGTAATTATGAAATAATACGTCGTATCTCAACATAATAGAGTAGAATTTTACAAATCAAACTAAAGTAATTCAGACAGTTTAATAGAAGAAACAACTTTAAACAGGCTCAAAGATTAAATGATTCTAACTTTCAGAGATTCAGGATAGCAAAAAGCTCATATAAATTTAAATATGATAATTACCCAGGTAGAAGAGAATATTTATTGGTTCTTAAATATTTCTGCATGAAACAGTTTTTTTTTTTTTTTTTTTTTTTTTTTTTTTTTTTTTTTTTCAGAACTGGGGATTGAACTCAGGCCCTTGCACTTGCCAGGGAAGTGCTTATTCCACTCAACCATCTCCCTGGTCCCAGAATACAATTCTCTTTTTTTGTTTGTTTCTTTGTTTTGGCAGAACCGAGGATTGAACTCAGGCCCTTGTGCTCGCCAGGCAAGCGCTTATTCTACTGAGCCATCTCCCTGGCTTATGAGACAGTTTTGTACATTCAGTTTACTTATATTAATTTATCCTTGGTAGCAGTAGAGGCAAACCTTTTGGAGCTTTCAGATACAAACAGACCACTGTGGCTTATGTGCCATAGGTTCACCACCACCACTGTATAGCTCTTAGTATTATTAATACTATAGAAAATTTTTCTTTTTTTTATTGTTTTAGGTTGTCTGGATACCTTGGCTGCTATGCAAGACTTGAAAATGGGCATTGCAAGTACAGAAGAAGAAACTCAAGCAGTAATGAAGGTTTATTCCAAAGAAGATTATAGTATAGTAAATAGGTTTGAAAGTATGTATACATTAATTGAGGAAAAATTATGTTATAAATAAAATACATTTGGATATTTTAAAACACAGATTATTATTTATATCTTCTAGGTCATGGAGGGGGCTGGGGTTACTCTGCCCATTCAGTAGAAGCTATACGGTTTTGTGCTGACACTGATATTTTACTTGGTGGTCTTGGTCTATTTGGAGGTAGAGGAGAATATACTGCTAAAATTAAGGTAAATTTTATTGACACTTTTATCCTGTTTTGTTGAAGATGCTGGTTTTATATAGTTTATTGTTAAAGCTTCCTTTTAATTTTCTTTTAACTTGGTTTACTTGTTCCTAATGTGTCCTTTTAAAAAGAGATAGAGGAAACACTTATAAAGTTTTATGCACTAATATTAAATCAGTAATATTAAAAAATCAAGGGAAGGAAGAGAAAGAAATAAAGGATAAAACAAAGAGTTGAGATATGTCATGTACATGTACCAGTGTCCTTTGAGGAATGTAATCATTATATACAGATTGTAAACATGTATTAATAAAAAATAAATATTAAAATAAAGTCAATAAAAAGGGAGGAAATTAAACAAAAATGATTTTTCAATAGGTGAAGACTGATAAGAGACTTGCAGTCAGTCTCAATCCTTTGTGTTGAACTTCGAGGTCATCTAGACATAGCAGTTCCTTTTTATGTGCCTACATTCTTATAATTATTTTAATGATGAACACAAGTATTTTGATGCCGGGACATTTTGTTATACATAAAGTGTTTATAGCATCTTTAATGCCAACTACTATATAAATAGACATCATCACTCCAGGATTTGGAACCAGCAAGGAGGGGAAGATAAAACAGAGTGGATGGATTCCATCTGGCAGGCCAACTAAAAATAAGAATAATAACTATATTATACCCCAGAGAGCTAGCAATTATGTGAAGCAAAATATATGTTTACTCTTCAAAAATTTACTTCAAGCTTGAATATTGTGCTTCTCACCTTATGTAACTATATTTTTTTGTATTAGTACATTTTTGTAGTATTATGCTTACATTCCATGTGGGAAGTTGGTACATGTGCATAACTCATCTTAATTACTTTTTTCTTACCTCTTTCTCCTTCCTCTCTTCTCCCTTCCTGCTCTGCTCTCCATTTGAGAAAGTTCTATCTCCCTACTTCCTACTGTCTGTTTTTATTATGCTATTTATTTATATTTTGAGTTTCTCATGTAAGAGAAAAAGCCATTTGATACTTAAGTTTGTATATCTGATTTATTTTGCTTGACATGGTCTCAGTGACCATTTTCCTACAGTGACTCAAACTTACTCTTTGTTATGGCAAAGGAGTACTACATTATGTCTAAGAACCTCATCTTCTTTCTCCATTCATGTGTTCATGGATATATCACCTGCTTTCAAAATTGTCCTGTGCATATTGCTTTAATATGATGTCTTTAGCTCTTTCTTGAATACCTATAAGAGTAATAACTGGGATAAAGGAAGTTTCTAGTTTTAGTTGTTTGAGGATTCTCCATATTGGTTTCCAACATGGTTATTTTAGTTTCCATTTCTACCTGAAATGGAGAAGGGTAATTTCCCTTTATAGCATACCATCATTTGTTATTTGATTTCTTAATAATGACTGTTCTTTCTGAAGTAAAATGAAATCTGTATTTTAATTTACATATCTCTCATGGGCAGAGATGTGGTTGTTTGTTACTTGTTTCTTCTCTGTTTTTTGTGTTTGGTTTTTATTTTAAAGAGAACAGAAAAATAATAGATAAGACGTTAAAAACAATACACAATTTAAAAAAACTAAGATGATACATATTAAGCAGTGGTTTTTATCTTGCATTGTTGTCCATAATACAGTTTCTCTGATCACCAGATAAAAACATGGAAAATAGATCAAAGTAAAAATTTTAAGCATTGACTGCTACATTAAAAAAAAAAACAGTAGAAATTAGTAGTACTATCATCTAAGCTGTTCTGTGTATAAATTATACATGCTTTTTTCCTTTCTTTTTTCTTTTCTTTTCTCCTTCATGCTAATTGTTAATTCCTTTTGCTCAATTTCTTTCCCTTTTACTGCATCTGTTGTACCTTTCAGATTTTATTTGCTCTTTTAGGTTCTTACACTAGGGAGACAATATGATGTTTAGACACAAGAGTTTGACTTATTTCACTTTTGATTGTAGACTCTCGTTGTATATATTTACCTATAAAAACCCTCAAGTTTATCTTTCTTTATGGCAGAATAATAATCCATTGTATAAAAATACCACATCTTTTTTACACCCTCCTCAATTAATGGGCATTTGGGTTGTTTCCAAGGTTTAGCGATGATAAACTATGCAGCTATAAACATCAGTGTACATTTATCCCTGTGGTATGATGTTTTCAGTTCTCCTGGGAAAATACCCACAGGGGGATAGCTGGGTTGAGTGGGACTTATAAGCCTAGTTTTTTCAGGAACCTCCACAATGATTTCCATAGTGGTTGTACCAGTCTGTACTCCCATCAACAATGGAAAAGGGTTCCTTTTTCACCACAGCCTCTGTAGCATTTGTTGTTAGTTGATTTCTTTGTGATAGCCATTTCTGGTGTGAGGTAGAATCTCACTGTTGTTTTATTTCCATTTCTTAAATAATGAGTGCTGTTGGAATATTTTCGCATATATTTATTTGCAATTCATATTTCTTCCTTGGAGAAATGAATATTCATCTCAGATGCCCATTTTTGGATTGAGTCTTTGAATTGTAGGAACCTGTTTGTTTCTCAGAGGGAAATTTATAGTGGTGAACTCTTAACATTAGGAAAACAGAATAAGAGCAAGTAAGTACCTAGTGCTGTATTTCAAGCTTCTACAAAAAGAAGACCAAGTCAAGCCCAAAGCCTAAAAAAGGGAGAAAATTATAAAGATTACAGCAAAATTAATGTAATTGAGACAAAGGAAACAATACAAAGAACTAATGAATCAAAGAGTTGATTCTTTGAAAGTATAAATAAAATTAATAAATTCTTAGCCAATCCTCATCTAAAAAAAAGGAAAGAAAAAATTTAGTAAGGAATGAAAGAGGTAAAATTACTATAGAACTTGTGTAAACTCAGAAGATCAATACCTACTACATAAATCTTGACCCTCATAAGATGGAAACACAGAAGAAATGGACAAATTGTATGAATTACCAAACCTGAATCAAAAAGATATAAAACTTCAGGATAACCCATTATCATTTGATGAAATTGAAGCATAATGAAAAAAGCTTACCAAAAAAGAAAAGCCTAGGTGCTGATGGATTCACAGCTGAATTCTACAAGAAATTTACAGAAGATTTAATCCCAATAATCCTCAGACTCATCAATAGAATTGAAAAGGAAACAAATCTTCCTAACTCATGTTTGGAGGCAAGTATTACACTGATACCAAACCCAGAGAAAGACTCAACCAAAAAAAGGAACTATAGACCAGTTTCCATAATGTATGCAGATGCAAAAATGCTCAATATAATACTAGCACATAGAATGCAGCAAATCATCAGGAAGATTATACACCATGACCTGGTGGGAATCATCTGAGGGATGCACTGGTGGTTCAGTGTATGAAAATCTGTAAGCTTAATACATCATATCAAAGAGCTAAAACCAAAAACTACATGATCATCTCAGTAGATGCAGAAAAAGCTTTTGACAAAATCTAACACTTTTCATAATAACCCTGAAGAAAATTGACATGGATGGTCTTTATCTCAATCTGGTAAAAGCCATCTATGACAAACCAACAGCCAGCATCATACTAAGTGGACAAAAACTGAAAGCTTTCTCTAAAATCAGGTACAAGACAAGGATGTGCACTATCACCACTCCTATTCAATATAGTTCTGAAAACATTAGCCAGAGCAGTTAGACAAGAAAGAAAAATAAAAGAAATAAGAATTGGAAAGAAGTTAAATTATTATTTACCTATGACATAATACTCTATAAGACCCAAATAACTCTACCAAGTGGATCCTAGAATTAACAAACAAATTCAGTAGCATAGCAAGTTACAGTGTCAACACCCAAAATCAATAGCATTCCTCTACACAAATAACAAACTCACTGAGAGAAAAATTAGAGAAACAACACCCTTCACAATAGCATCCCCCCAAAATGAAATACTTAGGAATAAACTTAACAAAGGAAATAAAAGAATTGTATAATGAAAATTACAATAATCTAAAAGAAAGAAATTGAAGAAAATTTCAGAAAATGTAAAAATATTCCTTGCTTATGGATAGAAAGAACCAACATTATGAAAATGGTTATACTCCCAAGGCTGTTGTACAAATTTCATGCAAACCTGATCTAAATACCATTAGCCTACTTCACAGATCTAGAGAAGACATTCCTAAAACTCATCTGGAACCAAAAAAGACATGAAATAACAAAGGCAATCCTGCACAGCAAAGTCGTGGCAAGAGGCATTATAATCTGTGACTTTAAATTATACTACAAAGCTACTGTGATAAAATCAGCCTGGTTGGGAAAAAAAAAAGACCTAGGGATTAATGGAACAGATTAGAAGATGAAGACACAATTACAAACTCACACAGCCACTGTATCTTTGACAAAGGGGTCAAACAAGTTCACTGAAAAAAAAGCCTCTTTAATAAAGGGTGCTCAAAAAACTGGCTTTCTACATGCTGAAAACTAAAACTAGATTCAAGTCTGTCACCATGCACTAACGTAAAAATGGATTAAAGATCTGAACATTAAAATAGAAACACTAAATCTACTGGAAGAGAAAGTAGATAGATTTCTTGAAGACATAGAGATAAGCAGAAAGTTCATGAACAAGAACCAAACTGCACAGGAAATACTTCTAAGAATCAACAACTGGGATCTCATCTTATTTAAAAGTTTTTGCATATCAAAAGCAATCACCAACAGAGTGAAAAGAAAACCCACAAATTGGGTAAAAACCTTAACAGTCACTCAGACAGAGGACTTCTATCTAGAATATATAAAGAACTAAAATAAATCAGGCCCCAGAATTTGAAGACCCAATCCAAAATGTTTCTGTTTTTGGTCAATTTCTCTATGATAGCCATTCTTTCTGGAGATGGGATTTTAGTGTTGTTTTATTTTTCATTTCTAGAGTGACCAGAGACATTGACCAATTTTTCTTCTATTTAGTTCCTATTTCTAATTCTTCATCTGAGAAGTTGCTATTCATTTTAGGTGCCCATTTTT